CACCAGCGTAGGGAACGGCCACAATGTCGCCCACCTTCACAGACAACGGCTTAAAGCTGATCCTATTGTCGTCATTCTCGTAGAAATCAGTCGACTCTTCCATAAAGTGGTCCAACTCTTGAGCGCCTAAACCGGCGATCTGTACGTAGAACTGGTCCGGACTCTTGACGGATGAGACAAATACTTCGACCAATTGGTATTCATTGATTGGTTCCAGTTTTGCATAATAATTGTCTAAATCTAGTGACCCATCCTTGGCTTCGCCTTCAATGGCCAACACTTTGTAATTTGGGATTTGTTTTTGTGCACTGCTTTGGTGTCTGTTGTGCAGGAATTTGTCGTTTTGAGTGATCTCTTTGTTGATGAGTAGAACCGCTTCTTGGATCTGTTCATCAGTTCCGATGATTGTCACAGAAGTCATGATCGCATTTGTCTTTTTGCTCTTTGAATCCACTTTTATCTTAGCTCCAGATTTGTCACAAAGACCCCTAAATTCATGATTAAGAATACAATGAAATCGATGTCCAAGTAATCACCTGATTATCCTCTACTACCTAATGGTCTGTCCGTTGCGGCCGATGATAGCGCCAACAGAAGTGGTCTCAACGTTGAATGTTTTGGTCGTAACCAACGACTGGTGTCTTATAACATCATTGATCATAGTCTCAGCCTTTATGGTACTCTCAGGCGATCCCCTAATCACCAAAACCCGACTCTCTTGGACCCCATTATCTCCTGAACCGGCGTTTTGGTCATCGAATTGAATCTTCGTATTGGTGTCCGACTGGATCTGTTTGATGTGTTCGCCGCCTCTGCCGATGACAGCGCCCACACATGTCTTGGGCACCCGTACGGTGAGCACCGATTGTGTCGATTGTCTGACCTTTCGTTTGTCGCACTCTTTGAGGACCAATTCCTCCTCGTCTTCGGGTTTGAGCAGCAAATACAGCGACACCGAAGACACGGCGACACCCAATCCGATGCCAGCGCTCAGTAACAACTTCTTGCCGATTGTGTCCATGACGTGAGACACCAATGACTTGTTGTCTTACGTGTGGTTGCGTTGGATGTGATGAAAGTGATGGCAAACACAAGACATTGTCATTAGTTTGACATTCAATGCATTGTTGTCTCAAACGTATCGCTCATTCAGTCATACATTCACTCAGTTTTACGTTATTTATAGCAATGAATGCCGTTTTCGCTCATTCTTTGCATTCATAGGAATTGCTGCAAAATATACAGAATATTCATTAATATACAGAATATTCATTAATATACAGAATATTCATTAATTCACTATTTATTATAAAACTTTTTGCAAAAATAATATTTTCAATAAATTATTTATTTACAGGAAAGGGTCTTGGATTAAATGTCTTAATAATATTATCCTTTTATGCCATAACGGGACAGTTATCATTTCCAGTGGGAGTCGTTACCCTGTTTTCCATTGTTAACAAATTCTTTGTACAAATCACTAGAAAAAAGATTGAATGATAAAAACAAAATTCTTGTAATTCTTATATAAATGAAAAGATTTTTTCTCTAATTAAAAATCTTTTTGTTATTTCCTGTTGTAATGCATTTTAACGATAATATCTCTCAAAAGGTCTTAATATTAAAAGAAATCTAATAGACATAGTAATAGACTATTACTAATAGTATTTCAAATCACTTACATAACTCATAAGTTATATTGAAATATGAAAATGTAAACTATTTTATAAATATCGATTAAAATATATGAAATATTATTTTCAGTGTAAAAATAACCAAATTTATAAAAACGGAAAGTTTTAAATATAATTCTATTAAATGAACACAAACTTATTTTTTAATAAAATACAATCCTACCATTTTTACTAAAAATCTTACAATTTTACTTTAAAAATGGTAAACAATTTTGCTGGTTATTTGCTATATCTTTATTAGTATCAATATAAGTAAAAATTTAATTTGATTTCGGTTTCAACTCCCGTTTCCC